TTTTTGTCCTTGGCTCTATTGATACAGTGTATTACATTGATTGATTTGCATATGTTGAACCATCCCTGCATCCCTGGGATGAATCCCACTTGGTCAGAGTTGTATGATCTTCTTGATGATCTTCTGCATTCTATTTGGCAGTACCTTAGTAAGGATTTTTGCATCTATGTTCATTAGTGAGATTGGCCTTTAGTAAGTTTTTGAATAGGCTGTATGAGATATCAACTTCTGCAACAACAAGCAAAAATGCTCTGAAGTGTTTTTAAAAAATAATTTGGTCACAGAACATTTGCTCATTTCCTATTAAAAGTTTCTACTTAAAAAACAGCTACCTTTCAATGTATATTTTACTTTTTTATATTTTCCAATATTTCATTTGTTATTTTATTTTAGGCAGATTTCAATCTATTGTAGATTGAGTGTCCCTTTGCAAAATTCTTGTGTTGAAACCTAATTCCCGATGTGACTGTAACTGCAGGTGGGGCCTTCAGGAGATGATTAAGCAATGAAGGTGGAACTCTCATAAATAGAATTATTGTCCTTAGGAAAGAGGCCTCAAGGAGCTCTTCTGCCCTTTCTGCCACACAAGGATACTATCACACCATGACTGTTTATGAACCAGGAGTCAAGAACTCTCACCAAACATGAAGTCTGCTGGTGCCTTGATCTTAAGACTTTCCAGCCTTTAGAACTATGAGAAATAAATTTGTTTTTCACAAGCCACCAAGTTTACTGCAACTCACATGGACTGAAATACACTTATTTAATAATATCTAACATGTGATGAAAAATACTTTCTATTCTTTGTTAGAATGTAGTTGGCAGAGTCTCAGGCTAAGAACTCAGTAGATAAAAGTTTCTGACTTTTAGTAAGCATCTCAAAAGACTGAAATACTGAAAATATGAAAATCTGGTGCCACTTTATCACATAATATCATTTGCTTACAATACTTTGATCCATTTTACATTTTAACTGAATATATATGTAGATTACATTTACACAAAATTAAGACTTTCCAGTATTAATAATACTGCTAAAACTACACTAAAATTAATCACACTCCTGACATTTTTTTGAGGAAAACAAAACTTTCAAAAATTAAATCTAGACATACCTCTAACATTAATTGTGTAAACTCTTCATTACTAAGGAATGTAGGTTTCCAGTCTTGTCGAATTTCACTAGCATCTGACTGTGCAGTGATTTCTGTAAACAGATTGACACATTAGTGGTATACTCCAACCAGTGGGAGAGTATAAAAATCCTACAAGTTGCCTTCTCTTTTCCACTCCAATTAGAGGTAAGAATGACAGGCACTAACATTTATTGGTTTACACAGCAGAGGAGAAGGTTTTGGTATGAGGAAGTATTTGAGTTAATGTGAGAAGTTATCTCTTTATATTTGGCCCCTTGGTAAAATTCTCTCCAGGTTGTTTTTCCTAGGGAGCTTTGATATTTGATAGCCTTTTATGGCTGATAAACCTAAGATTGCTTCCTCCTAGACACAATGACTAAAAACTAATAAGAACAAGCAGATTAAATCAAGAATATTCCATTCAAATGGTGATAGCTAGAGAGAGATAAGGTAGTGAATCTGGAGGAAAGAAGCCAATGAAATGGGTCAATCTGCTTTCAATAGAGATTATCTTAGGCCTGCCATTTTTTTTTTTTTAGGCCTGCCATTGTTAAGCAAAAGGTGCTTTTGTTTAATTAACCAAGGAGACAAAATTAAGATTTTGGGCAAAAACTTCATAGTAATATGCCCAGAGTGACATTACTTAGTGTCTTTCTTCATGTTCTTAGTGGTAGGGAGCTGGTCCAAAATTTGGAGATCTGACATGGGGCACACATTTATCAGAGTTATTATTATTTATTTTTCTATATAATTTTCATAGATCTAGTTAAGGGAAAGTTATTTATAATACAACCTGAACTGTTTAGGTAACAAATGTTTTCCTATTTTTAAATGCAGACATATTACAACTAGACAGAATAAAAATGTATGACATAGGCTATACTTGACATAATATACTTTATTTTGTAGTAAAAAGTATAAACTATATGTTGATATTTTTATTGACAGACTTACAAATATAGCATATTAAATTGTCACTGAAAAATCTGTATATTTAAATGCCTATGCTGTAATGTGAAGAATAACTAAAAAGCTCAGCTACTAATTCATGGAATATAGTAGTCATGTTTTTCAAATTTGGATCAGTTATACATACTTAGGAAAAAGGATTTAAATCCAGAAGCAAAGCCCAATCAAGTTTAGTTAAACATAGGCCTATTTTAGAGTGATAAATATTTAAGAATTCCCTTAAATTTAAAGGGTTTCTCTTAAATATAAATTTATATTCCCTTAAATATAAATTTCATTTTGAGAGAATTATATATCCAATTTTAAAGAAAAAAACTAATATACTATAAAAATTAACCTTCTATTTTTAGGGGGAAATATATACATTTTATTTCATTCATTCAACAATCATTTATTCAACTCCTACAATGTCTAAGGGGAGTGTGCCATCTAACGAGGTGCTAAAGTTTCTGAAAATATTTCTAAAGGTAAAATATAATGACAGTTGTGGCAATAAAATAAGTGACCTGACCAAAAAAATTAGTTCAATTTAGATGTACTGATTTTGGGGGAATGGGTAAAAGAAGTATCTAGAAATATAAGGCTGAAATTTTCTCTGAAAATAAAGCACTGGTAATTTAATAGAGATATAATAGCCGAAGTCATAGAATGAAATAAACAAGGGAAATTGTATAGACAATGCAAAAGCACAAGAATAGGCCTTGAGAAAAGTCACATTTAGAGGTACAAAAAGAAAGAAAAGAAGGTAGTTTCATTTAAGAAAGGGAAGAAGTGATACAATTTAATGAAAGCAAGCCAATGGAGGATGAATCAAAATTTCCAATTCCACAGAGATGAACATTAGGCTGAGGTATAAGATAAAGCCCTTTGCTTTACTGAGGATGGGTAAGTAATGTCACTGGTGAAAGTGAAAAGAATAATTTCAAAGAGTGGCAGAGCATAAACTAGTCTAGTAATGTATTACCTAGTGAAGATAGGAGATATAAAGAGACACTTGTTACTAGCTCTCCTTTGGAGAGATTTCTGCAGTTCTACTTGCATCTGAAAAAGGAAATGTCCTTCTATGTATTTTTAAACTCTAGTATCTCTGCCACCAAAATACTTAATATTCTTTACATTTTTATTTTTTCCCCCAGTGCTAAGGACTAAACTCAGGGCCTTTGGCATGTCAGGTAAGCATTCCACTACTGAGCTGTGCCTCCAGCTGCCTTTGTATTTTTATGACTCATCTTTGACTTGGTCAAGGTGACTTTCTTCAGTGAACATATATTTTTAAAATTTATTTATTTTGGTACCAGGGATTGAACTTGAGACCTTGCACTTGAGAGGTAGATGGCGGAACCACTGAGTTAAATCCCCGGCCCAGAACATATATTTTAAAAGTGTTTATTTCCTAGATATAAACCTAAATAACTTTTTAAAATGATATATAAAGTCCTTATATTATCTGGCTCTTTTCTTTCCTTCAAATACAACTCTAACTTTCCAACATGAACACACTCCAGATAAAAGAAGTCCCCTGCATCTCTGCATTTGTACATGTTTTCTATTTTTTGTGAAAATGTTTTCTTTCATCTAAAAGGAAAAGTACTGAAGTAACTATTTTTACGTCTTCTCTGACATATTCTTTTCCTCTGTGCTCCCACTGCAAGTTTAAAATTTGCAAGCACTACCCACATTATAATCATTTGTACTGTAACTATCTGTTTACATGTTTGTATCCCTTGGCTTGAGTTAAAGGGTAAGAATGTTACCCTGCATCATAAGGATCAGGAATACAGAAGGCACTAAATAAATGTTTGTTGAATGAAAGATTATACCAATAAATCTTTCTTAAAAAGGCACATGGTTTCTCTTTCTTAAAAAAAAAAGCTGAGGGGCCAGGGATTTAGCTCAGTGGCACCACATCTGTGTTGCAAGCACAAGGTCCCTGGTTCAATCCCCCATACCACCAAAAACAAAAACAAAAAAAAAGCGGAGGAAATAATCTTATCAATCTTGCCAAGATTCTAATTCATTATGCTTTAAAGGAGAGTCTTATAGTAATAAAAAAATTTACCTTTATGTTTGCGTAAAAAGTCAATGCTCTTCTGCAAAACAGTAGATTTGTCCATCTTTCTAGCATTTCCAGGAAGCATGGATCCCAGTTCTTTAATGAGAACATTAAATTGATCTCTACGTTTCTTTTCAGATTTGTTTCTAGATACCCTGATTAAAAAAAAATTTAAATAAGTGGTTTTTAAACAATTCACTTAATTACTCATATCATGTATTATATAGTGTTCAATTTGGACATGATACTATACTGCTGTAAACATAGATGGTAATAGATATTTCCTAAATCACCAACAATATCTGTTAATTTGGGCAGTAATTTTTCATCTCAGTTTATCACTACAGCAACTTTTATATATCAAGCATTTGACAAGCATGTTTTTATGAAAATGGAAAGACAAACCATGAACAGTGCAAATTTTATTTAATATCTACCAAGGCTTGGAAAGTCATAAGCTTATAAAGATTAATATTTTATAAAAGTATATATGTGTAATACAAATTAACAATTATCAATTAGGAGAACATCATCCATTTAGCTTAAGTTTTAAATTATAAACAAAAATCTAAAATTGAAACCCTCTCTACCCTCAGGATTACTCACACTCCTTCCTCTGTACTGCTAGATCCAATAGAGTGCAGTGGTTTGGTATCTGTCTCTCCCTTAAAATACAGACCCATATTTTTTGTCTAAGGATTCTGACATAACATCTCTAAAATAGTAAGCATTCTAAATATATGTGCTAAATGAATAATTATTGCTATCCTGTGTTAAGTTGTAACCAGTAAACAAAGAGCTTTTGAGACAAATTCAATTGTTTATAAAGCAATTAATCATCTTATAATTAACCAATTATCTGCTTTGTGAAGTCAGATTTTCTAATTTTGTTTTTGTTTAAGCAAAGCATAATGGTTTCCCAAAAGGTAAGAGGATAATTGTATTTAATTTATAAATTGTATATTGATCATCTAAGCTCTTCTATTTTGCTAACATTATCTAAATTCTTAATGGAGACAGCTTTTGGAAATCATTAATTTTTTTTATTTACAATTTAATTTACATATTTTTCACTTATTTACTATCTTGTATCTCACATCAAACTACCTTTTGGCTTTGTCCTTGTCATCTTCTTCCACCAACCCATCAAAAATACTACTGTCATCTCTAAAAGAAAAAAAGTGGACAAAGTAAGAGTAGATTCACTAAGTAATAGCAACACTAAAGTGGCAGGTAAATCCACTCAGCTATAGTCTAGAATTTCTGTTAAGTTAATGGACTGCATAAATTCAAGTTCAATAACTCATAATCTGTTTTCTAATAAATTTTAGTTATATTTAATTATATTTTAAAGCTTTCTACATATATTAATTTATACTTAGCTATATGTATACAACATGCTAAACAAGAATTTAACTAGCTTAAATGTTTTTTCAAACTTAATAACCAGTGAAAACCTACAGAAAGTCAAAGTATTTGCCATTGTATAAAATTATTCACTTGGAATTATTTTTAATAAATATAATACCATAATTTAATTTTTTTGACATATTTGTAAAACCACAAATTACTCATTAACATCATAATCTATCACATTAGCTTATACATTTTCATTCATTTACTGATCCATTTGACAAATATTTATTAGCATTCAGGTGCATGATTCTTCTGTTTTGGATGTGGTTAAGAGACCAAGGATTAAGACATATAGCTGCTCTCTTACAGCTTGTATGTTCTACTGGAAAGGAACAAACTTGAAAATGTGTGACAACGGGTTTTTTTTTTAAGGTGTTAATTTTACTTACTAAGTTGTTAGTCTCAGTATAGGGAAGGATTTGTTGAAGTAGAGACACTGAGGGAAGATCTAAGTGACAATGCAGGGTTAGCAATGGGATGATGTGAGGTAAGAAGATTCTAATAAATTATCTCAAGAGTGCTGGTAGCTAACTCCTTAAGCTAAGGCACAGTAATATTAAACAGTTTCCAGTGGTTTATGAACCTTTATATGCATTATTCATTCCCAAATGCACAACTTTGTGGCTTATACAGGCCAACAGCGTAGAAAGTGCCTGTTGGACTCACTATTGAGATCAACTACAAATCTTGTTTCATGGAGCTACATGACTAGATTTTTGGCATTCCATTTATGCCTAGAAATTTACTTTAAAAAAAAAAATTTTTTTTTTGACACCGGGGATCGAACTCAGGACCTTGGGCTTGTGAGGCAGGCACCGGAACTACTGAGCTAAATCCCCGGCCCATTTATAAAAAATTTTGTGTGAATATGCATTATTTTTCTGAGGAGAAAGCCCACAACTATAATATTCAGAGACATAAGGAACCCATATTAATAATCACTGCTTTAGGTTCAAACACACATGTCATCCTAAGATGTCATACTGTCTATAATCATTCAGAAGCATAACACCAAAAACATGTTTAATCCCTCTAGAGCAGTGATGAAATATCTTTCTGAGGAAAAGATTTCTCACAGATTCCATCTCTAACTAGGGCATAGTCCAAATCTATGGTCATGATGAAGCAGGTCTCTCTAAGGACATTCCTTGTCTTCAGGTCTTATATTCTGGTACAGCAGTAATGGCGAACCTTTAGAGCTTTAAGTGATACAAAACAGCCCACTGCAGCACATGTGCTGTACATTTACTACCACTCTGGTAGAGTATATATCTTCGCTTTGTAGCTCACAGAAAAGGGTAGCTGCCTTCAGATGTCAATAGTCACTTCTGCATGCAACTGGAACCCCAAAATTCTTAATTTTTTTTCCATGGATAAATCACACAGTATACTATAATAAAGGTACGTAACTTTAGTGGCAGACAAACCAACACTAGTTAAAATTACAGCATATCACTTACCAGCTATGTGACCTTAAACATATTATTTAACCTTACTGTAAAATCTTATGGATTATGAGGTTAGAAATACAAAAATATTTTGTACTTCAGCTGTCAATAGTAGGTGCTTTAAAAATATTACTACATTTCATCGAATTTAAGACAAAGACTCATTATTATTTTTGTGCTCCTAAGAAAGAAAAAACAATGCTACCAATTAAATTACAAATCAACTATTTAGGCTCATCAAATATTAGAGATGTTAAAATTTTTTTTGAAGTCTTAAAATTTAGGAAATCAAGTTCATCCTTTTCACAAGAGTGATGTTCAAACATTACAGTTCAACTAGTGATCCTAATTTTAGTTGCACCTTATCAGGCACAAATGCTAAGACACCTGAAGGGATGGAATTAGCACCAAGACATTCTAGAGGTGCCAAGGAAACAAGCGTAATTGTTACCATTTCATGCCAAACAGCTTTTGATCAAATGACTAAAACCCGTGATTCAATATCCACCTAAAAGACATGCTAAGTATTATTAACTTTGGCTCTTGAAAATACTGACATACTTTACTATTATACTACAGTTGTTCAGTACAGAAATTGAAATAGTAATTATGTTTAAGTCAAAAAATCCTACTATCATATGGACAAATATTCTAATAGTGAATTTCCAAATAGTTTTAAATAATTCAAAAATTTAAAGAAGTCTATAAACATACCTGTCAACAATCGAGCTCATTTTACTACAGCTTATGGTAAACAACATAACACACTACGTTTTCGTCTTGTGGTAGACATTTGTACTTCTCCTTGGGTAGAAAAAAAAATAGCCATTATTGTTCTTAAAAATTTACTTCTACAAACAAAGTTAGCTTGACAAATACTATACTGTTATCTTAGAGACTTCAAAATGTTGGAACATTATTTTTTTTTCCATTAAGTTTATTGGTATAATTTAGGTATACAATACAGTTACATTCATCAT